AGGACAGGTTGCTGTCCTCTGAAGATGCCAGCCACAGAGACTGGCGAAACTTTAGGAAGAACAACCTTCAGAACATGGCCAAAGAGCCCGAAAAACCTACAACAATCATAATTTCTGGCTTGTTCCATAAGTTTTTCCTCTACTGATACATTCTCTTCCACCGTTGCATCTGCCTCTACCCTCCATTTGTCTTCCATACTATGCTCATTGTTCTGTGTTCATTTTTCTTTTGCCACATTTTCTAGTTGTTGTAATTCCAGTTTTGAAAACACTTTATTCTGGATGATAAACCTTCTCTGGTCCTTTAATCATTGTTCAGTTATGTCACTATTCAAGTATTTCATTTTCCAAATTTTTATCATTCTTTTTTGAAAACCATGGACTGTTGGGTTTGTGTCATAGTAGCATTCCATAATTTCTCAATTTTTGTCAGGAGTCCAAGTTTTATATTTACGTTGTTCCAGTAGTTTTGCATCAGCCTGTCGTGGTTCCTCAACAGGATCTGCTGAGTCCTGCAGCCCACTGGTTACCAGATGTCCAGGAGCCATAGCATCTGAGGCGGTCCTTGTTGATCCAGGCGATGGCCAATCCAGTATGGATTTCTGTTTATTCCTTCTCATCATAATTGATGGTTGATGGACATAGTCTGGCTTCTCAGCTGAGACCTATCTGACTTGGGAGACCCTTCAGGTAGCAACACTACCATCAGCATAGCTCTTGGCCTCACTTAAGCACACAAGCCTCTCAGCCTCAACAAGGGCTGTGTCCATGGAGGGGGGGCATGAAACCTGGTTACAAGCTACAAAAAACCCAGAAAACTCCTGACACTCCAAAATGGAAAATTAGGCGGGGGGGGGGGAACAGATTATGTGCAGACATTAGCAATGTAAAATATTTCAAAGATTTAAAACTTAGAAGAAAAGTAAAAGCCAACCTATGCAAAAGATATGACCTAGAAAGGAAAAAAATGTTGAAATCAGGGAAGAATTAAAACAATGGGTAACAACTACAGCAAAGAAAATTGAAAGACATGATGGATGCTTGAAATAATATAGGGAAAAGACGCAATTTCAAAATACCAACAATTATTATATAAATCACTAGGAGAAATTGTACAGCAAAAGAAATTAGGCCCATGTAAAGATGATGCTCTAAAACTTTGGAAAGAAATTTGGGAAAGCTCAACCAGGCATAACAAAACACCTCATGGATTGGAGACATTTGTGAAGAAACTCAAAGAAAACATACAGATAATATTGTAATAAGAACTGAAATGATTAAGAGGCAAGTAAAGGTTGTGAAAAACTGGAGTGCACCTGGACCAGACAAGCTGGTTAAAGCATGTGCATCTAACATGTCTCCATCAACATATAGCAGTGCAATTCAATCACTTACTTCAACATTCTACGACTGAGGATGGCTCTTTTCCCAGGAAGCACAATAATAATTATGCAAAGTGCACCGGTTATTATGCAAAAACAATAATTTGCCAGCCTCCAAAAATCCATGGGAACATCAGGTAAAGAAGTGTCAGAAAATGATGAAGTCAAGATCTTGTGGGATTTCTGGATCCAAACTGATTTTTTTTCCTATTTATTTTATTTATATCCCGCCTATCTGGTCGGATCAGGACCACTCTAGGCGGCTAGACACTTTGAACATAACACATCAGACAGAGTACTAATAGAATGAAGAAATGTCTGGCTCATTGATATTGCAGTTTCAGGAGACATCAGAGCTGAAGATAGAATTGAAAAAGCTAACAAAATACAGAAATCTGGCAATTGAAATATCTTGCTTGTGGATGAAACATACCTTAGTGACCCCCATCGTCACTGGGGCTTTGGGAACAATATCAAGAAATTTCACACAGTATTATAAGCAGTTGCAGATGTCAGAAATCACACCATCAGAGCTACAAAAAGAGTGCAGGACACGCAACAATGAGCTCAAGTTACAGGAAGCCAGATTTCGATTGAATGTCATGAAATATTTCCTGTTAGAGCAGAAAGACAGTGTAACCAATTACCTCAAGAAGTGGTTATTGCTCCCAACACTGGAGGCATTAAAAAAAACTTAGACAACCACCTGGCAGATATCCTTTGATTTGTATTCCTGAATCAAGCAGGGGGTTGGACTTGATGGCCTTATAGGCCCGTTCCAACTTCAATATTTTATGATTATTTAAAAAATGGCAATATTAGGAACAGCATATATACTTCATCAATATTTAATAGATACTTAGGTTTTTGGTTAAAATTTGTATCTGTTGTACAATGTTATTATAATTTTGATTGACTGCACCTGATATTTTCCGATGATGATGATGATGATGATGATGATGATGATGATGATGATGATGATGATGATGATGATG